TACATACATACATATCCTCGGGGGCGAGGCCGGGGGCCCCAGGACAGGTGCCTCGACTTTCCATGGCGGGGCGGGGGGGGGGCCTGGAACCTCCCTGGAGCAGCCCAGGCGGCCCAAGAGTGCCCCAAAAACGCTCCACGACAGGCCCAGCAGGCTCCAAGAGGCCCAGGAGGGCGCCAAGAGGGCCCCAAGATGCCCAAGATAATCCCAAGACGGCCAAAGAGGCCCCAAAGACGCTCCAAGAGGCCTCCAAGAGGCCCCCCCAGAGGGCCCCAAGAGGGCAAAATCGCTTATTTTTTTTAATCGCTTCGCTCATTCCGCCGGCCCATATTGTCGCACCGTTGTGGGCTAGCCGACTTTTGGGGCCTCTTGGGAGCCGTTTTGGGGCCTCTTGGGGCCTCTTTTGGGCCTCTTGGGCGCCTCTTGGGGCGTCTTGGGGGCCTCTTGGGGGCCTCTTGGGGCCTTTTTGGGGCCTCCTGGGCGCCGCTAAGCGGCCCAGCGCCGACGCAAGAACCCCGCGCGGACCTCCGAGTTGTTGCGTTTACATGGCTCAAGCCGTTGTGGCTCGACGGGTCTTCGGGGGCCCCCTTCGTCTGTGGGGAGCTTCGCAATCTGTCCTGGTGTTGCTTTTCGCCCTCCCTCTCCTCCCGTCGCTCCCTCCCTCCTCCCTCCTCCCCTTCCTCCCTCCCTACTACTACTACTACTACTACTACTACTACTACTACTACTACTACTACTACTACTACCCTACTACTACTACTACTACTACTACCACTACTACTACTACTACTACTACTACTACTACTACTACTACTACTACTACTTACTACTACTACTACCTATGTACACTAACCTAACTACACAACACTACTCCTACGACTACTAATACACTACTACTACTACTACTTTTACTACTTTTACTACTACTACTACATACACTACTATTACTACAACATTACGACTACTACTACTACTACATACAACCACTACTGCTTACTAGTACGACTACTGGGTCCTACTATCTACTACTACTACTACTACCACTACTACTACTACTACTAGACCTAACTACTACACTACTACGACTACTACTACACTACCCTATTGCTACTACAACTACTACTACTACCACTACTACTATTACTACGAAAGCTACTACGACTAACGTCTACGACCATTGCTACTGCTACTCTACTACTACTAACTACTAACTACTAACTACTCACTAGATACTACTAATACTACTAAACTACCACTACTACACTACTACTACTATGGTGTGTGTGTGTGTTAAATTTCCTACTAACTACTACTACTACTACTACTACTACTACTACTACTACTACTACTACTACTACTACTACTACTACTACTAACTACTACTACTACTACTAACTACTACTAACTACTACTAACTACTACTAACTACTACTACTACTACTACTACTACTACTACTACTACTACTACTACTATTACTACTACTACTACTACTACTACTACTACTACTACTACTACTACCACTGCTATTACCACTGCTACTTGTACTGTAAGTGCGTGCGCATTGCCGCCGGGCCCCAGGCTCTGCGGTGCTCGCGCGCGCTGTGTTCACAGGCGTTGTGGCGTTCACACGGGTTGTGGCGTTTTCTGGTTATGTCGCGTGCACAGGCGATTCGGCATTCACGGGCGCTGTGGCGTTCGCAGGCGCTACGTTGACAGGCGCTTTGGTGTTCACAAGCGCTGTGGTTTTCACAGACGCTGCGCTCGTCAAAAGCATTGTGCCGTTTACGGGCACGTCGCGTTGATCGGACCGCAAACTATTGTAGCGCTTGACATAGGCGCGTCGTGGCTGTCGGGTCGCAAGCGATTTTTTCGCTGGCGTACTACAGGTGGTGTGCACGTTGACAGCTGTATACACAGGCGCTGTTGTGCACCCGTGCGTTGCGACGTACGCTGACGATGTTGTGCACGCGTAGGTTGCTGCATCAGCATGCGTGGTGTTCGTGGGCACTGCGGCGTTGTGTAGCACTCGCAGCTGCTAGGCCCTGTCGTTGCATGAGTGCTATGACCAATAGCAACAAAGGGCAGTCCTCCCAGCACAACCAGCATTCGAGCGGCCAGGCGCGACTGCGTTGTGCGCGCGGAACGTGCTGCTGTGGGCGCAGCAAAGGGTGTGACAAAAACTTTGTGGTATGGCGCGTTTACAATCGTATACGCAGTTTCTGTGGTTTACGTGATCACTGCCATGCGCCATGCACTGTGGTGTACACGCGCGATGTGGTGCGCGCATAGGCTGCTGCATCAGAATGTTTGCATACAGCCATTCGAGCGGCCGGGCGCGGCTGTGTTATGTTATGTGCCAGCGACCCCACCCACCCACCCAGCCACATAACGCGCGTTATGTGGAATAATAAACACTTGAGCTCCTTCACGAACAGCGCGACTCCCGTGTCGCAGTCCACGACGGCTCCAAGCTTCTTCAGCACCTTCTTGGACACGAGGATCGGGACGTCGTTCGCGAAGCCGTTGATGGAGATGTCACCCTCCATGCCCCCGCCAGTGAAGCCGAACTTCACCTGGCCGTAGGCGCGCTCCTTCTCGCCGTTCCCGAAGCTGTAGACCGGCTGGTAGTCCCGGTTCACCTCCCGCAGCCTCGCGTCGCCATATTTCTCCATGTTCTTGCGGGCCAGGATGTCGAGCGCACGCTCGCCGCCCATGGCGTCCGTGCAGCCTGGGTCAACGATCCCATTGCCTCCTGGATCGCCTGGTCCGCGAACATCGCCTCGCATCTCGAGTCCCCAGACTCCTGCTCAGCAACCATCGACACCACAAGGTTGAAGCTCAGCTCCTTTCTGCAGTTCGCCATTTTCGCGCTGGCCTCTGGCGGGCTTACCGTCCTCGGCTTGAGCCGGGGGTCGCGGCGATCCTGGCAGTCCTGCACCCAGTGAGCGCCGCCGCGTTTCGCGCACTTGTTTTGCCCTCTGTTCGGCGGCAAGACCTGACCCCTGGCGCCGTACTGGGGAGGCATCGGCCGACGTATTCCCGCTGGGAATCCACGGCCAGCTCCCTTGCCATCAGGTTGTCCTCCACGGTAGAAGCCCATGCTCAGGCGGCTGTCCGCCTGAGCCTCGCGGGCCTGTCGGAGGGTGCGCTGGGCGATGTGGATCGCCGCCAGCGCCTCCGCCTCTTCGTGCTGCGCGGCCAGGTGCGCCTCGATGTCCTCGTCGTTGGGCTCCCCCTGGTCTGGCTCCTCCGCGAATGGCTCCGGAGGTTCTCGATCAGCTGCGAAACTTCCCGCATCCGGCACCGTCTAGCCATGTCTGATCATCCGCTCCAAGCTGGGCCGCGTATGCCCCCAGGTACTCCAGATTTCGTAATAAAGGGAGGGGGGTCTCGTCTTGGGGGGGGTCTCTTCCAGGCTATCTTGGAGGGCCTGGGGGGTCTGGGGGCGATGTTTTGGAGGGTTCTCCCACGGGGGAGGTCTGAAATGGCTTGTCTTGGAGGGTCCAGACCCCCTCCCTTTTATTACGAAATCCGGAGTACTTAGAATGTCTATCTCTCTCTGCAAAGTCGTCGTCCTCCCAGCTGGAGATCAGCTCCTCGCGAATTAGGTTGACGTCCAGCGAGCCCCCCGCCGCGGCCACGACCGCCGCGCGCGCGCGCGAGTCGAGGCCAGACCGCGCGAGCATCGGCCAGCCGAGGACAATCGCTGGGAAAACCTCCGGGACATTCCCGAGCTCCTCCTCGGCCTCGGCGTCTCGGTCCCCAGACCCCCTCGAGCAATGAAAAAATCATGACGGAAGGTTTTCCTTCATTTTCGGCCTCCGGGGGCCCTCACCGGGCCTCGGGATTGTCAAAAAACGACTCAGGATGCAACGCCGGTCATGGGGAGAGGGTCGGGACCGCTGGGGGTCGACGTCATGAACAAATCATGACGTCGGGGGTCTGGGTCAGCAGCACTCCAATGCTGGGATGTCTCCGTAGCGTCGTCAGGTAGACCGTCTGTGTTCTCCCACTTCCATTCGGATCCATCCCATGGCCATCCCCCTTCGACCTGGATCCATCTGAATGGTCTCTCCGGCCTTCCCCCTGACGATGAGCTCGGGACTGGGGCTGATTGCCCCAGTGCGCGCGCCAGCGCACGCCTCAGGTACTGGTAGCCTGTCTCGAAGCGGTCGGTCCATTGCTGCATGGGCTCCATCTTGCGGCGTTTCGTCTTGATCAGGAAGGTCTCCAGCTCCTGGCCCACGTCTGGGGCTGCCTGGCGTGAGCAACGTCGCTCCAGCCACGCCAGGAGCCGCTCTACGCCATCAGCCCGTGATAGCCATCCCGCCTTGCAGCGCTCCACCGCCGTTTCGGCACGGCCCGTGAGTTTCGCCTCTAGCCTCGGGCCGCACAGGTACCGCTCCTCACGTTTAGTGTCCTCCTGGTACTGGAGGGCCTTCCTCCCGTAGGTTCGCCAAGTCTTTGGGTCTCCGTCCCAGCTTGGCACTTCCCCCGATGATCTTCACTCATCGTAGAGCAACGTGTCGACCACGAAGCTCCGCTACCATGCAAGTGGTATGCGGAATTGCGCAGTGGTATCTTCTTCTAGCTCTTTCCCTTGAACTCCTCAAGCTCAAGCTCGACTCGTCGAGCTTCCATGTCTATCCGCGCCTCTGAGCGCAAGCGAGGGGGCGCTAGGGCCAAAAAGGGCAGCAGCACACACATGGATTGGCCCTACAAAGCACCTCACTCACTCATCTTATAATCTCTCATCTCCATGCTCAGGCTTGCTCCGAACCAGACCTGCACAGGCGGCTCCCAACAGGCCCCCAGGGGCACTAACATTGGCTCCAGGAGGCGCCCGAGAAGCATGCCAAGAGACCCCGACAGGTAGTTAGTCAAGCAGACTCTGACCCCTATCCCAAGAGGCCCCCAGGGGGTCCAGCTGCCCCCTTAAGAGGGCCCCAAGACGGCCCCGAAAGGGTCCTTGACGGCCCAAGAGGCGTCCCAAGAGAGC